GAGACAGACGGCATTCTGTACCGCAATAATCCGATGAGCTCTGATATGTGTGTACCGGTCCATTGTGCTAAATTCTTTTCGGGACCCAGCTGACTCGCATGTGTCTTTTCTAATCCTCTTCAGATTTTATACAGAATTAACTGTTGTGAAAAGTTAAATACAAACAAAGCAGTTAGCGATAGCATGTATGTGTTAACCAAGTAGATAAGCCTACTATATAAAATTGCAGCACATCGAGGCGATGACTCAACATCGTATACGGACGGTAGCATGATAAAGAAGCCCTATCAAGCATGAGATCATTTCCGTAATTAGCATGTGAAGTAGCCCTTTGGATCAAGTTCCAGCGAATGCTGTAGTGCAAATATTGGGCCTCCCAAGTGAAATGGTCAATTTCAGACACGATCATTATGTTTGAAGGTGAATTGGCTACCTCTTTTGAACCCACTACAAACCTCTACTCCTTTGTCCACAAGAGAGATCCCACTTCAAATAACTGCTAAACTATGAAAGCCAAAATCTCGTCTGCCCATTTCCTGCTTGCAGCTATTACCCTAATTTTCAAAATTGACCAGCCAAGACAAGCCAAAGGACTTAACCAAAGGACCCTATAAGATGCTGTATATTGCTTGAGAGAATCGTGCGATGTAAGGATTTCTTTCCGGAATACAGTGAAGCGGCTGAGCGGCTCGCTTGAAAATTCGAAAAAGTGCGTCTTATACGCGTGAAATTAGGGTACTACTCAGAGTAAAGAAGACGAATTATGCTCAGAACAATCCCGTGAAAAATAGAAGGTCTGACCTATCGAATGTATAGGCACGCGTAAATCATGATGGCGGCGTCGGCTTGCGTCGCGTACGCAGCTTCAGCAATAACATTTCCTTAGATTCCGCCTTTACTCAAAACCCCTTCCTCTCTTCACAGCAGAATTTCATCCATTATCGTTACTTCTAGCTGGTGTAGTGGTTTTGCGGAACCATGCACGTCAGTGAGGGCTACGGTAGTTTGCTAAATCTGCACTGCTACGTATAATGCGAGAGGAAGGTGGCAAAAATGTATGAAGTTTCTTCAGAAAGTCGTGACAACGAAATCGCTTGCGGTCTATGCGGTATATCAAATGTCACAAGAGCGCAAAAGACCCGAAGAAAAGGCATTAATGGACTTTAATGCTTACTCTTTGGGTCTTTGGGTCTCGTTTAAATCTCTGTCAGTCACTTCCAATTTTATCATATGCAAGCATATAAACGATTCGAGTAAAGGCGGAGGCTAAGGAAATGCCGTTGCTGAAACTCCGTACGCGACTCAAGCCGACGCCTCCATCATGATTTTACGCGTGCCTATACAATCGATATGTCAGACCTTTTAGTTTTCATAGGAGTGTTTTGAGCCTAATTTGTCTTCTTTACTCTGATTGTGAGTAGTATTAGCTGCAAGCACGAAATGGGCGGACGAGATTTTGGCTTCCATAGTTTAGCAGCTATTTAAAGTGGGATTTTTCTTGTGGACAAAGGAGTAGGGTTTTGTATCGGGTACAAAAAGAGGTAGCTAATTCAGCTTTAAAACAAAATTAGTCATGTCTCAAACTGACCATTTCACTTGGGAGGCCCAATACTTGCACTACAGAATTCGTTGGAACTTGATTCGCAGGGCCACTTCACATGCTAATTACGGAAATGATCTTATTCTTGATAGGGCTTCTTTATCATGCTACATACTACATATACGATGATGAGCCGTTACCTTAGTGTGCTTCAGTTTTGCATACTAGGCTATCTGACTTTGTTAACACATATCATGCTATCGCTAACTGCTTTGTTTATAGTTTAGCTCGAGTAATGAGTTCTGTACAAGGAAGGGGATTAGAAAGGACAAATGCGAGTCAGCTAGGTCCCGAAAAGTATTTAGCACAATGGACCAATACACACGTATCAAAGCTCGGAATATTGCGGAAGTACAGAATGCCGCTCCTTCTCCCTTTATCGACTTGAAGGCCTTTGATTCAGTTAAGCTGGGGCGGGCAACATTACTATCGGAGCAACTCTGAGCAACTATAGTAACTAGTAAAACTCTATTAAGGTGTAAGTGGCACGTGCATCAGTTTCAGCAATGCCCTTTTGCAGAGCACTGCTGTTTTAAGGCGGCCGTTTATTGAATGGTACCACTAGCTACAACTTGACATGGCTCCGTCACTGCTTGGTAACTAACAAGCATCTCGATCTTGTCACCCAGGTTTTTGCTCTTGTTGGATGACAAAAAAGTGCATCACCTACTGGCAGTTAACAAAGATAAATTCAGTTCTCCCTGTATTTTTGGTTAACCAAGAAGGATAAAGAACGGAATGCCATGCACGAGCTAGTGGTACCATTCAACAAACGGCCGCCTTAACGAGAATGCAAGAAAGTATCACTCAGGCAACGGATAGGACCCCTCCGCCGGAGAAATGGCAGGGTCGCGGCGTTTCCCCAGCGGTGGGTCTCCCATTTGTCCGGCGGAGCCCTCCCATTTCTGCTCCGGATACCTCCCATTTTCTGCTCCGGATACCTCCCATTTTCTGCTCCGGATGCCTCCCATTTTCTGCTCCGGATACCTCCCATTTTCTGCTCCGGATACCTCCCATTTCTGCTCCGGAGGCCTCCCATTTTCTGCTCCTGATACCTCCCATTTTCTGCTCCGGATACCTCCCATTTTTCTGCTCCGGATACCTCCCATTTTCTGCTCCGGAGCCCTCCCATTTCTGCTCCGGAGACCTTCCATTTTCTGCTCCGGAGGCCTCCCATTTTCTGCTCCGGATACCTCCCATTTCTGCTCCGGATACCTCCCATTTTCTGCTCCGGATACCTCCCATTTCTGCTCCGGATACTTCCCATTTTCTGCTCCGGATACCTCCCATTTTCTGCTCCGGAGGCCTCCCATTTTCTGCTCCGGATACCTCCCATTTTCTGCTCCGGATACCTCCCATTTTTCTGCTCCGGATACCTCCCATTTTCTGCTCCGGAGCCCTCCCATTTCTGCTCCGGAGACCTTCCATTTTCTGCTCCGGAGGCCTCCCATTTTCTGCTCCTGATACCTCCCATTTTCTGCTCCGGATACCTCCCATTTTCTGCTCCGGATACCTCCCATTTTTCTGCTCCGGATACCTCCCATTTTCTGCTCCGGAGGCCTCCCATTTCTGCTCCGGAGACCTTCCATTTTCTGCTCCGGATACCTCCCATTTCTGCTCCGGATACCTCCCATTTTCTGCTCCGGATACCTCCCATTTTCTGCTCCGGAGGCCTCCCATTTTCTGCTCCGGATACCTCCCATTTTCTGCTCCGGATACCTCCCATTTTTTGCTCCGGATACCTCCCATTTTTCTGCTCCGGATACCTCCCATTTTCTGCTCCGGAGCCCTCCCATTTCTGCTCCGGAGACCTTCCATTTTCTGCTCCGGAGGCCTCCCATTTTCTGCTCCGGATACCTCCCATTTTCTGCTCCGGATACCTCCCATTTTCTGCTCCGGATACCTCCCATTTTCTGCTCCGGATACCTCCCATTTTCTGCTCCGGATACCTCCCATTTTCTGCTCCGGATACCTCCCATTTTCTGCTCCGGAGGCCTCCCATTTCGGCTCCGGACCCCTCCGATTTTCTCCGGCGCGGCTCTTCCAAATCTGGCGGACTCGCGCCGGGCAAATTTCTCCGGCGCGAGTCCGCCAAATCTGGCAAAGTCGCGCCGGAGAAATGGCGGACCTTTGCAGCAGGGCCGGAGAAGCCTCCCACTTGCCTGCCAGTGATGTCACCGCGATGGACCGCCCATTTGCCCCTCTCTCATTGGTCAACTGGGTCCGGCGCGACTCTGGCAGATTCGGACTGTCCGGCGGAGGGGTCCGGTCGATTGTCTGAGCAGGCAAACAAATTACGAATGAGTAATCTGTTAGGCGCTTATACTGTTTAGCGTTCTTCTGTAAGTTGTTCGATTATTGCTACGCTGATGTTTCAACCAATTTTTTTTCAAAATTTCAACCTCTAATGTCAAAGATTCATTTCTTACACTACGTATTAACATCTAACGATGTTCAACTATCCAACGCTTCAAATCTTCCAATTAAACTTTTTTAGTAATGTTCTTAACTTTCGACCGAATAACGATGTAGCTAGTGAAGTCCGAAATTGATCACATAGACCATATCCGTTTGACACTCCTACTTTTACAGCTTTTCCGTTAGATGTGGTGACATCGCATAAACAACTAAAGTGAATCCACCTCACAGCTTCGAGAGAAAAATCTTCTCACAACCGACCACAATTTGGCCTCATGATTTTGTCGTGTTGAAATACTATCTGCCATTAGCAGACACCCTTTAGTTGCCTATCAGTTCATTGAAATTGTGCACTATAAGAGCATGGATTTGAGAATTTCGCAATTCCTTTACTACGATTCGACCTATCTAGAATCTAACTCTGCTTCACCGTTTACAATAGAGTGCTACCAAAGCTTCAGATTCCTCCATCCTTGAAAGGAAGTCACAAAGTACTGATTGCAGTAATGCCCGGATTGTCAGAAAAAGAAACTTTGTGATTTATTTCTACGTGTGTGCACAGACACACAGTCGTTCCTGGGCTAATACGGAAGTCCATCGTGAATAGTACAAATATTTATCACTTCTCACGCGTTTCGTCTCGATGCTTTTGACAACTAGCAAACATCTCAGTACATTCAACTTTTTTTAATCACATTATCTGACTAGACCGCACCACCTAGCTTCCATCTAAAAGAAATCTGTTGTTGTAGAAGCTGGATGCTTCAATAATGTTTACTTGGAGTAAAGCTGCGGTTTAGCAACTGCTCCAAATTTACACTCTGGATTGATACGTGCATTCAGTGGAAGATGTTAGAACAATGTGTGAAGTAAAATTGTGTACACGTTTCATAATCTACTCATCCTTTAAACGAATTTTTTTTTTTGAAATGTATGTTCCCCCACGCAAAAGACTTGGTGCAAATCAACAAAAACTGTGGGTAATTACCACTGATTTATCGACATGTTTATTTGAATAAAAATCAGAAACGTCACGTAGTATTACGAATATTGTGACAGCGAAGTTAGAGCAGTAAATCTAAGCGAATGGAGATATACCACTCCAAAAAAAATCCACACAAGTTGCACCGAAAAACTAAATTCAGACAGAACACAGACTAATGTGAACGAAAATACAGAAGCAAGACACGCTGAGAAGCCTGACAGTTTTCATAAGGATCTGTTCGATACGGTCAGTAACTTCATCACCCATTTGGGAAAATAAACGAACGCGGGGACAAGCTTGGCGCAAATTAGCAAAACAAAAGCGAAACATATGCGCGCGCACTGGTTGCAGAGAATTGCCACGGCTGATACATATAAAAACAAATGGGGGAAGATCGGGCGATGTGAACTTCTCCGACGGGCGATTGGGCGATGAAAGAAGGCGCAGATGCACACAGGGTGAGGTGAGCGGGAACACACGGGCTCTCGACGGCTAGGCGAAGCCCTCACGAAGCCGACTTACTGTTCCTTCTTCTGGACCTCAGTCTGCACCTTTTTCAAGAACGGCATCTTCTCCTCAGCCCTGCAAACTTCGGCGATGAGAGCGGGCATGACCTGTCACTTCACAGCACTCACATTTTGGTTATTTTATCAATTTGCTCGGATGCCTGGGCCAATTTCGCATCGATTGGCTCTTGGTACATTTCGTACACTTTGGGAACCGAGAATACAGCGAGCACTCCTGAATTCGCATTTTTCGCAATCTAAATACAAAAAAACAGCAATTCTAACATACCTAGAACGATGAGGGCGAAGCCTGAGAACCAATAAGCGATGTACGTCAACGACCACAAGATGAGTCCGAACTGAAAAAAGTTGTTATTATGCTAAAACTACGTCTGTGGAGGAGTAAAATGAATGGAGCAAATTCATTTGCCAAGCTTATATAATTGAATCTCCAACTATCTCCAAAACGATCAATAAATCGATTCCTGACAGTTCACAAAGACCATTCCAAATCGCAACGAAAGATTGACAGCGTATTCATTGTGCTGTTTCGAAATGCAATAAATATGCATATTGAATGTGTGATGCTGTCTCGGTGTTAAAGCAAAAGCCGCTGACACGGAAAAACACCAAGCGACATTTTCTTCACACACTACGCTGGACGAGATTTCGTAAATATGAGTCAGATTAGATGAATAAAGGGCACATCATCGTTTGATAGCTTTTCTTTCGCCGACTTTAGCGACTCTCTGCGCCACGACGTCACGACAGCTGTCACATTTTGAAGAAAATTAGTGCAAAGGGTTGAAGGGAAGAGAAGCAGCCACCATACGGATAAAAAACACACCTTGGCGCTGTCGACAATGTTCTCGACGAAAATCAGTCGTTTCACTTTGTCGGCGACATGAGTGGCATGTTCGGCAAGTACATCAACCTGGGAATGGATTCGATCCTGTGGCAGCTTGAGATCCTTGGCAAGGTACTCCCTGGAAAAAACCATATAAAAACTCAAAGGTTTGCTGATCGCACCTCAGTATCGGGCAAGACTTACTTGAATGGATTTTCGCCATCGGTCTTCTTCACTTGGGCTTCGACGGTCTTGTAGATACGGAATCCCAATGTACCCGCCAAAATAGCCAATCCAGTGTAGGCAAACACGGAGAGAAGAGGATACCTATAAAGCAGTGTTCTGTTGTTTTCCAGCATTCCTGTGATTTGCAATTTCAGAAGAACAAACAGCAATGATGACATGCAAACACCCTCGTGCTACTCAATGTCTCATGTGTATTTAATCATGCTTAGCGTGCTCAAATGGAAATAACTCACATAGCCAAATTTACTAAAAGAAAACGCTTACTTGGCCAAGATGAACACTGCCAGGAGTATCACCGACAGTGCAATACCACTTCTCTTAGGGTCCCGCCAGTAGATGATATCGAGAACTGAAACAAAAATTCTTAGTGCAGATTTCTAGATAAGCTCTGGAACTATGAGAATTTTTTTTGTATAGATAGGTTTTCTGAAAATCTAAATCTAAAATCACACATACGTCAATGACAACCTCCCTTTACATAAAGTAATCCAAGAGTTTCATAGACGAAATTCATAGAACCCAATACAAACAGAACCCGCGGATCCTGATTAGCAATGCCCAATAACATTTTGACCTTGTTAAGTTCTCAATAATTCATGAATAATGCAAATAATTGAGCACCCTGGGAAGCTCTCAGGATGTGTTTTTACAAGCTTGCAAAAACATAGTTTGTAGTAGTTGATTCAAAACTATGATGAAATTCTTCCACGTCAGCTGAAACCTTAGATGACGTCATCCTCGACTTCAAACAATTCTGGAAGCCTCAACTCCCCCTTAGGCCCGTATTTATGGCAGCCTTTGGTGCACACAACAGAACCAAAAAAAGAAATTAAAAAAACTTATGATATAAAAACTTGTCTCGTTAGTAAACAACTTGCAGCCCGCAATCGATACACCTAAGCCTGGAAGTCCTGCTAAAGAAGGTGCAGGTGGAAGAGTACCCCTTCAAGACGCGTAGAAATCTCAAAAGAGCTTACCCACATCATCACCTTTCGGCATAGCGGCAGAGGCAGTGGGCGTCTGAAGCAGCATGGATGACAGCTAAGCGAGTGCCCCGAGCCGCGCCCGTGCCTACTCGGACACACGGACGCTTATATCGATTTCGCCTTTTGTATAGACTTGTGCCATGACTAATTTTGCCCCGTACAAATACCCTGTCACACCCCGTAATACGACAGTCAGAGTCACAGCTAGAGAAATATCTCGACTACAATTCCATAAGAAGAAAAATTCTAAACGCCTCTGCAAGAGGTGTCGCAACAGGCCATTATCAATAAATCAAACAAAGATTGATAAGTTCTCGAGTGAGCAGTTCGTCAGGGGACCTTCGGTCTTTCGCTATGAAGTGCTCTCGGCTAAAAGCGAATCGTCTGCATCTGGTGAGACAAGCGGATACAAAGCGAAAGAAAAAGCGTCGAAATAAGCACACAATCGTGCACGACTACGCCCAAAAAAGTTTGGACTGGCGAGTGGCTAGACGCTGTGATGCACACTTTTGCTTTTCTTAAACAGAACATATAAGCTTATCCGCTTCTTATAACGGACATAGAAAGTCTTAGATCTTTCCGAACAGTCAAAGAACAGCAATCTCAAAAAGATTTTTCTACAAAATAGTCGCAAATAAACTCTCTAAATCTCAAATTTATTCTTTTGATGGGATTTTTGATGGGATTCTTTAGTGAGTCAACGAGTGAGCGACAGGCTAATTTTTAGGTCCACTGATTGTTGTGACTTCAGAAACACTCGAATGAAACACATCCACCGGCGAACGTACGCTGAGGACACTTTATGCTTCTGGAAAACGTCGACATATGCTGCCGTTTAGACAAAAAGAAATTGTATCCCATTCTGAGCAGATAATGTAATGTAATTATAGAGCATCGACCAACCTTGGTTTTGGAGAAATTTGCAACTTCAAGAGAATTTCCCAGCTTTCTTTAACTACGATAATGCCTCATGACGAATCATGAGATTTTAACCCCGCTGTAGTTGGAGCAGTCTCCACAATTTTAGTAGAGATATCAGAATTTAGTAAAATCGTGAAAGAATTGTTACAAAATTCGAAAAACATGCCCATGGTGTGAGCTGCTGGCAGAGCGCAAACGGCGCTGAAGTCGAAGATACTGCCACTTTCTCTGTAGCAACGCCGCTGGAACTGGATGAACAACAAAACCACTCGATGCTGAAGATTCGTACACTAGGCTTAAGTGACCTTCTCCCAAGATGGGAACATCGAAAGAAACACCAAGTGTAAGACGTATATCAAGCAAGTCGTTCCGCACCTTTTCGGCATATATTTCGCACCTATAGCAGCTACCAATTATAGCAGAACCAGCTTCGCAAGCTTCAGAAAAACCAAGCTTTCGGATTTACACCCCTCTGAGCGAGTTATAAGCCAATGTAATAGTGGTTTTGGATCCAACCATCGATATCAGACACTGCTGATGTTATCACAACAGGTCAAGTAATAGCTAGCCGATCGAACGGCGACGGTGATCGGCGCGTAACCTTCACACGCTCGCAAAGAGTGACCTTTACCGAATCGAATACGCTGTATCGTATCAAAGTCACAAGAAAGACAGCAGCATCGTAGGGGCAGTGCGATGCAAGTTTTATCACGAACCAGCGCACGGGAGATGCATGTGATAGCATTTATATGCTCGGTGATTATGAAGGATAAGGAATCAGCTTTATGTTGCCCAGCAAAAACAGCTTTGTCTGATCTTGTTGCCTTTTAATACCAAAATTCAAAAAACCTAGAAAGCAGCCGCTTTTGCAACCTGGCTACGCGAAGATTTATCGCATACAAAAAACCGTTGCAAAAGTGCTCGTTAAAATTAGATCCTTTCGGCATTGACTATCCTGCATGCATGTTTATTTTTGGATGCTCATAATTACCAGATTACAAGCATGAAAACAAGCTTTGAAGTCAGTATTATTCGCGTCGATTTTGCATATTCAACTAGTGCTATACTGAAAAGATTATAAATCCTCACAGGAACCATACAACTAGGTTGCAGCTAGATAGTCCTTCCCAAATACCCGAGAACAATTCTTTAGGCTACATGGTGAAGCTTCTGGCTCAAAACGCCGGCAACTGAAGGAAGGTGAGCTTGCCTTTTGTGGTAAGTTATGCAAGCTCATGATACGCACTGTGAAGTTGTAGAAAAATTGTCGTAAAAAATTACTGGACCACAAGTGAAATTTAAACAATATTCCAACCTTTTCCAGGAAAATCAGTAGCAGGCACATAAGTTGGCTTTTGCTGCTGCTTCTTGAACTTCGGTTGAGCCATATTTGCTAGTCAGCTAGTCAGACACAGAGGATCAGAGACGAAACGACACAGCAACACCGCGGACGGACTGTTGGTGTGTGTGTTCTAGGTAGACGACTCTGTCTCCTTGCTTCGATGATGTGATCTCTCCGCAGCCAAACATCGCCCTCGCTGCTCCTCCACCCCGTTCTCTGTACGGCGCACACTCTCCTAGCCGACTACCTGCCCCGCACCCGTCCCCGTACGGTGCGTTCTCTCGTAGGTTGTGGCCACCTCCCGTTTTTCGCCACCTTTGCAGTTCGTCATTCCACAACGCATAACAAAACAGGGATTATGGTAATTCCCGACTTTTTGTCCCACGAAGTCTGCTCCTTAACTCAGAAGTGCAACAGTGGTTCGAATGACCGAACTTGGTTAAGTTTTCTGCGGTCATGATCGAGTTGCTAGTTTTGCACATGCTAACATCATTATCGGTCTTTGAGAGAAATGATATCTTTACCGAAAGAGCATTAGAGACATAAGCAATGCATCATCGAAACGGATCTAAACCGGCTACATCAGAAAGAATAAGGGAAATTGTTTTCAAAATTGAGCGTCGTTCATTCTTAACCGCTATCAAAGTAATATTAATGCTACTGCCACAGGATTTGCAAAAAAAAATCTTTACTATATTAGCGCTTTGCATACTTATGACACTTATAGAAATAAGTACCTTTAAACGGTGCGATGTTATTGCGCTAACACCCTTCAAAAGAATCGATTTGTTTGGGGGGGGGGGGGGGCACGAAGCATTGTATCCAATTTCATAATAATCCGTTCCTAATATATCTACCTACTTCTACAAGTAAGATATGCAGAAGCACATGAAATCTCCAGAACTTTCCCACAAAAAAACTTTTGCAGTATCGCTACACTACCACTATAATATCTGATGAAAATGTTTTAGTAATGAGAGGAGTGTTGAAATTTGCACGATATTTCATCAAATTTTGCATGAAACTGCATTCTAAATGTTGGTTATGAGAGAGAGAACTCATATGAGAGCCTATTCCACAAAATCTTCACGGAAAGGAGTGATGCAACTTAGCCATTGGAAAACCGATGACAACAGCGGACAGTTCCTCATATTTACTCATTTCATGTTCAATTCAACGATTTTTTAGTATCCATCCCATTCATTTAATTGCTAATTCAGATGAGACATTCTAATGAGCACAGAAATAAAATGAGCTTTGTGTCTGACGATGATCGTGATTGTCAAGGTCCTTGTCGACAAAAATGTCGTTACGCAAACAAGTCCAGATTTGATAGTTGAAGGAGTGCGAGCTGCTTAAAGCACCTACCATCTTTCCGATCTTTGAGTGCCTCTTTAGAAACCATTCCGACAGCGTAGACAGTGACAACCATGGCCGCTACCAACGATACGTTGATACCAATGCGAATCACAGCATTTATTAGGAATGCCAAAACGGCATAAAGGCCACGACCCACAGCACCAGTTTTACTCATTCTCGAGGTAGGTATCCACCGAAACGAGGTATTTGATCTACAAATTTTGGAAGATGAACTCGTATCGGAAAATCGAAAAGCGAGCGATATGACAAGAGTAGAATCGTAGGGCAAGGAACGCTTCAAGTGTTATAATGAAACTATGACTACAAATACGACGTCTAATGCACATAAAGCGACAGTACCAAACAGTCCTTAAGAAGAAGGTATTCGACTCAGACCTGGCATTTTACTGGCCTTCCCCAGTAAAATGTATACCATGGTGAGTGCCTTGAAGTGCTGATTACGAACAGAGTTGCTGTCATGGGCCCAAATAACACTCAGTTTGGTAGCATATTCTAGAGCTAATAACAGAGTAGCTTCAAAACCACCCCCATTCAATTTTTTATCTACAATGAATACAGGGTGCCCCAAAAAGATGTGCACACTGTTTAATCGTTAATAACTCTCCTGCTTTCATGTCTTTGCCGAGCTTAAGGTGCCATTCTGTAGACCGAGGTTCAACATAGATTTGCTGTGTGGAGCGAATCCAATCACTTTTCATTACTGTAGGATTAAGTGTGAAC